CCGTCACCCGCACGGCAGATAGTTTGTCACCACACCGAGTTGAGTAAAGGGACTGTGGAGAAAGGTGAGAGGCAGGGTGGGTGGCATGGGGGGCGCAGGAGGCTTAGTGCAAGGGGTGGGGGGGCGCAGAGGCTGCCAGGACCCCAGAGGCCTGGCTGTGGGGGGAGGGAGAGGGTGGTGAGGCTGAGTCCTGAGAGCCTGCAGTGAGGCCAGGGGATGGGCTGGGCCTCCTCTCCCTCCTGGCCTCCTCTCGCTCCTAGCCTCCTCTGCATCCTGCTGCTGACCGGGGCTGAGTCCAGCCTGGACCGCTGCCTGGACGTGCCACTGTCCCCGCGGGGCAGAGAAGGGGGCTGGCAAGCCAGAGGGACAAGTGTCTGGCACTGCTAGCTAATGTTTCAGTGGCTTTGTTTTGTCTTTGAAGTTTAGAGATAACCCTATAAAATTAGCTGCAACCAGATATCTTGAGAGTCAAACAGAGTCACCCCCAAAGGACCGGGTTTCAGGCTGGATTTGTGTCCTGGGGCCATTCAAGGAGGACAGACTTTCTCTGGTGAGCTCTCTGCAGCACTGCCCAGGCATGTGCTCTACGGCCCAGCAGTCACTGTCACCAGCAAGCTCAGGTCCCCTGTCCAGAAAAGCCCCAGCATCACATGTTCCACCCCAGAGACCACTTAGAAATTCCAGCTGATCAGTCACTGTCCCCTCTCTGGGCCACCCTCCTGCAGAATCCCAGCTGAAGGAAAGCACCAGTCTGCAAATTCCTTAAAAATGAAACTTATGCTTCTTTTTTTTTTTTTTTTTTTTTTTAATTCAGGCTCCCCGCTAAGTCAGGAGCCTGATGTGGGGCTCAATCCCAGGAGCCTGGGATCATGACCTGAGCCAAAGGCAGACGCCTAACCATCTGAGCCACCCAGCCGCCCCGAAACTTACGCTTCTTAGCCCAACAACGTAAAACAGTAAGAGGAGTTTTATTTTTACAAAATCCAATAAACCACCCACAACTGTACCCAGCAAGCAAAAGCATACCTTTGTTGGTAAGCAGAGGAATGACGAAGCAGACTGGGGACACTTGATCTCATGTCCAGGGCACAACTTTAGGTGCCAGTCTTGTTTTCTAACAGTCTAAAAAGAGTTGATGAAAAGTGACATTTATTGGATACTTCCCAGCTGCGTAAATATGGACAAGTTTCTTAACCCCGCTGTGCCCCCATCTTTTTATCTGTAAAATGGGAATACTCGTATCCCCTCTTAGAGTTTTGTGAGGATTAAACATACATGGATGGGGTCTGGTGCACAGAAAAATGGGAGTTAAGTGTTATCTCGATATCAGCTATTGTCCCATGCCGGTCTGGAGCGGGGACATAGTCTCTGTTTTTGAGACTAAATCTTCAGGGCTTCCTCAACACCAGGACCAGCCAGCCATTAAGTGGAGCCATGGGTCTCCTGATCTTCCTTCCCTGGAGAGAGAGGTCTCCAGAACTCTCTCTCAAGGCCCTGCCTTCTCTAGCCCAAATGCCAGGCCCCTGGACCTGCCTCTGTGGCTCTTGGTGGTGGAAAGTGGCCCTGAGTTAGAATTTAGAAGATAGTGTATCAGCTGAGTGACCTTCATCTCTGGGCCTCAGGGCTCCTATCCCTCAATTAGAGATAATAATTGCCCTCCCCACCTACCCACATGCAGGGTGGTTTTTTGTTTTTGTTTTTTTTTAAGATTTTATTTATTTATTAGAGAGAGAACAAGCAGGGGGAGCGGCAGGCAGAGGGAGAAGCAGGCTTCCCACCGAGCAGGGAGCCCAACGCGGGCTCGATCCCAGGACACGACCTGAGCCAAAGGCAGACACTTAACCACTGAGCCACTCAGGCGCCCCCACAGGATGGTTTTAAAGACCAAATGCAGGGGCACCTGGGTGGCTCAGTCGTTAAGCGGCTGCCTTCGGCTTGGGTCATGATCCCAGGGTCCGGGGATCAAGCCCCGCATTGGGCTCCCTGCTCTGCGGGAGGCCTGCTTCTCCCTCTCCCACTCCCCCTGCTTGTGTTCCCTCTCTCGCTGTCTCTCTCTCTCCATCAAATAAATAAATAAATAAAATCTTTAAAAAAAATAAAAAATAAATAAAAATTAAAAAAATAAAAATAAAAAATAAAGACCAAATGCAGAATAACTATAAATTCTTCCTAAATGTAACATCTTGAGTCTCCACTGCGCCTCCAATCCCAAACTACACTCCCTAAAGCTCAGCCGGGGGTGGGGGGGGATTAAAATAAACCAACCTCAATAGGTATACAGAGGCCTCAGGGGAGTTCCTTAGCCACAGACAGTCTCTGTCTACCCACACACCAGGCTGCTACCGAGAGGAGGCCATTAGCCCACTGAGCCCTTGAAATGCTGGGGGCAGTCGTTCCAGCCCAGGGGGTTCCCACGAGCCAGGAGGAAGTAGGGATCTTGTCCCTGACCAGCCCAGGCTGGAGTCTGGGGGATGCTGGACGGTCTTCTGGAAAAGGTGGCCCAGGCCTTGGGGCCAGCAGGGCTCAGAGGGAGGGCAGTGGGGAGGGGAAGTGACTGGGTGTGAAGCAAACCTAAGCAAACCCCTTGCAAACCTAAAGCTCTCAACTGCAGCTGAGGGTAAGGCAAAGTGCCTGGGAAGGTAAGGGGCCCTGTGGGCAGAGCATCCTCCAGTGGGGGAAATAAAGTGGGAGTTAGGGCTCTCCCCATCCCCACCCCAGCTGAGGAACATCTGCATCAAAAGCCACCCTGAACTTAAACGGGAGCAACCACGCAAATTACAGTGATGGAAGGAGACAGCACGAGTGCGGGGCCGAGCTCCGGCCTGGCACTTTGTAGTGGCACCATGGCTGTGTTCCCCTTGTGCGCGTGCGTGTATGTGCACCACCCCATTTGGCCTCACCACCAGACTTTCTGCAAATGCAAAGTACCTACTATGCCACTCTGTACACATGCGTACTACGTACAAAGTACCTACTATGTGCCAGTTCAGGGGACCAGGCTCAAGTGCTGGCCTTGAGCTCTGGGAGCTGCCAGTTTGGTGGTTGAGACAGACTTGAGCCCCGGAGAGAATTGGGGCCCCAATAGGAGCCCCGAGGGTGGTGCTCCAGTAGACGGACCTCCAGGCTGAGGAGACAGCAGGCCCAGCAGGACGGGGCAGGAGCTTTGGGGTGACTGTGGAGCATGGGTTAGGCAGAGGGAAGCCTCTGGGATTTGGGTACATACCTACTTGATTTATTCTTTGGTGCTTCCTGGAGAGGCAGGACCTTGGCTGCCCACCGTGCAGGCCTCTGCACGACCAGTACACAGGAAGCCCAGCATGGGACCCGTCATGGAAGGGGGTGGCAGTGCGCCCTTGCCCCAGTGATGGCACAGGGGAACTGGAAGAATCGACAACGGAGTCCTATCCTCGGGGTTCCAGGAGAAGCCCAACCAGTCACAGTCCTCATGGGGCTGAAGGTGTTCTCAGAGGGAGCTCCTAGGACTAACTCCAGGTGCAAGGCCTGGGTGCCATCCAGCCCTTCTTCCCTCCCGCCCACCCCCAACTTTAGGAGCAGTCCCCTCCACATCAGGCTTCCTGTAGGGTGGTCCTGGGTTGTCAGATCTGGAGTAGGGAAGGGGAGGGTGGAAAACAGTCCTCTTCAATGGTCTGCCCCTTGGGGGTGGTGTCTCAAGCTAGGCCAACCTTTCACATGGCTCAGAGAAATCAACTCCTCAATTACGATGATGGAGCTTGCCTCCTCCAGCCGCACATTTGCATGAACGTTGGGGACTGGATATGGAGGTTGGGGAGGGGTAACTCTGAGAGTTGAGCCCTGGGGGTTGGAGCCAATTTGAGTTGGGCCTCGGAGCAAGTTTAGAACAAGGAACGTGTATAGAGCACCTACCAAGGGCCAGGCCCTTTGCATGTATTTTCATGTCAATCTCACCACAACTTTGTGAGGTAGGTGTTCCAGACACACGTTATAGATGAGGAAACTGAGACAGAGCAAGTTTAATGTAGTTGTCCAGAGTCACACAGCTGTCTGAGGGGATCGGCATCTGGTTTGACTGGGAGCACGGTCTTTTCTGACTGACAGACCTTCGGCAAGCTTCCGGGGCCCAGGTAGATTCTGGGTGAATGGCTGAGGCTCAAGTAGATGCTGCACCCGAGGAACAGCGTGTGGAAGGCTCGCTCCGTGAGCATCACAGCTCAGTCACAGATGGGCCAGGGATGTGGGGCACCCTGCCAGCCAACGGGGAACAGTGCAAGGGGTTTGCACAGGCCACCCTATTCCTGCAGTGACCAGGACGAACCTGAAGTTAGCGGGGCTCCCCAGGTCTCAGGTTCCAGCGTGGGTGAAGGCTGCTTCCCAGTTGATGCACTTGGAAAAGCCCCTGCCTCTACCATGGGCCACAGAGTGCTGTGTAATTTCCTCTGTGGGTCAGTCCTCCACCAAGGGCTGTGACGGGGCCATGAGTCAGGCCTCAGCCTGTCACTGATAAACCATCACTGCCTAGCTTCCACCCTGCATGGTGGACACCGGGATGGCTGCCCCTTGCCTCCTCCCATCTCGGCTCTGTCCTGCGGAGGAGAGGTGGGGTTGCTCCAGGGAGGGTCAGGCAGATAGGGGTGGGTCCCTGCGCTTCCGGGGTCAGGAACCGAGGTGCCTGCACCAGCAAGCTCTTTCAAGCTGGGCCTGATCACACCACTCACCTCCCAAGTAAGAACATTCTCCACCTTCCCCTCAAGCTCAGGAGATCCGCAGGGGAACCTGCTCTTCTCAGAAAAAGGCGCTTAGCTTAGGTAATTAAAAAAGGAAAAAAAAAAAAATCAGCGGTTACTTCAACTGCCTTCAAGGAATTCACCATGTTCGGACAGGCTTTGAACTCAACAGCTGGCTTTTAGAAAACAAGCAGGATTATCTTTGGATCGCTTGCTCTGAGCTGCCAGTGGCCCATCCAGAACCCCTGGGGGGGGCGCGGGAGGGGGGAGGCACAGGCTGGAGTGCCAGTCATACTTCTGGGCAATTTAAAGCCACGTGCTCTGTGTCACCAAGACTGTGACTCAGCCATGTGCTTGCCAAAGCTCATTCACGGAGAGACGAAACTGCTCAGTAGGCACTTTTCAAAGTGAGGGCCCTTCACCTCCTGGAGGGAACAACATGGGGATACACAGGAGGGGAGCCTTTCTAGCAGCCCAGGGGAGTGGCCCTCGGAGCCAGGACCGGTGGGTGTTCACTTCTGTTCCCTCAGCCCCTGGCTTTCCATCCATGTCTGTTAGATGACCGAATGCACAACAGAAGAAATGACGTGAAGCTGGCACAAAACCCCAAAGCCCATACTTTGCTACGCATGTCTTCCCCGTTGTCTTGCTGCTCAGCAGAGAGGAGTGATGCTCACGTGGTCCCCACAAGGGAGCCTGAAACTCCACAGAATGAGCAGACGCCCGGCTGGGAGCAAAGAGATCCAGGCGCCTCAAAGACTCACCCTTTCTCTGCGTTCCTCCGAGAAGGTAGGAGTTGGCCCTGAATGCCTGGAGGGGATAAGGCCCCTCGTATCTGGGCTATTTCGGGAATTATAAAGAGTGTGTATTGGCTAAGACCATCAAAAGAGTTTTGTCCCTTAAAAACAAAAACAAAGCCCTGGTGACAGGTGCTGAGAGTCCAGGCCAGACCAGCATGGCCAGGCTGGGAGGAGTGGGCAGCCTCCTGTGGGCCTGGTCGGGCTGCCCTGCCAGAGTGAGCAGACAGGCCCTCACCCTGCAGGTGCCATCAGCCCACGGCATCTCCTCAGGTCTGGAAATCTCCACCTTCAGCTGCACCTGTGAGAGCCGTGTGTCAGGCAGCTGCCAGCTCACTACTCCCCACGGCAGAGAACGACCCGGGCATCTTGGCTGGGGTCGGCTGGGGCCGGCGGCGGCGGGGCGGGGGTGGGGGGGGTGTCTTGCCTTTTCTATCCTTTTCTCTTCCTTTTCCTTTCTTTGCCATCTCCTGACTGACTCTGATTGTCAGCCTGGCTGGTGGAGACCAGAGGCCGGAGAGGGTGCCGCGCTAGACAGAGATTCCCAGTGGAGGCGAGGGCCCAGTGGCAAGGACGGGGTGACTAGCGGCTTCTCGGCCCTCCCACAGGACCAGCAGATCCCGCTTGTCTCCCTGGAGACTTGGTTTCCAGGGCCCGCCCAGGAGATACCTGTTAGGGCAGGAGAGGACAGGGGCGGGGGAGAGACACCAAGATTTGGGTCTCTCAGAGAAGAGGACAGCAAGAAGGACAGGGACAGGTTTATTAGGCCGAGCGTCTTAACAGCCAAAACACCAGAGCTGAGTGGATCAGAAACACAGCAGGCATTGGGGGCTGGACAATACGAGTTGGCTCTGTGCTTCCTCTGGAAGGATTTGTCACCTGCCGGGGCCTTCCACAGAAGTGCTTTTTCCCGTTCTCTGCACCAATGAAAACTCTCCTGGCAAGTAGTTTTCAATGACTGTTGTCTCAAAAAGGAAACTGGGACTGCATTTTCCCACAAGAACTTCAAGGAATTATGATTACTCAGAACTCCCTCTCGACATTCTTGTGAACATTTGAGAAATTCCCAGTGTCTCCAGTTGTCCTAAGTGCGGGAAGCCAGGGATGTGCCGACTCACACACAGCCCAGAGAGCACTTTCAGGCTCATAGCAACTGCATAAACCATTGCATAACTTCTGCTTCTGCTGCTTTTTTTTTTTTTTTTAGCTTTGATAATGAAAGGAAATGCAAATAAAGAAGTAATGACTTCTGGTAAAATTATGCTTAGAAGACGACTTCCTACTCCCTGTCCCTCTCATCCCCTCGAAAGTCCTCCTCTCATGAGCTCTCCTCCAGGAGCTAATTTCCCACCGCAGTTTTCCAGGATCGCAAAGGGACATGGGACAGTCTAGATAATTAATTCTGTGAGACCTCCTACTTCGGGACCCAAAGTTTCGCTCAGGCCCAGAGATGGATACAGGGATTCTCCAGGCTAGAAGAGCCTCTGGCCACCAGCCAACTTCCAATGTAAAGTGCACCTCCAATCATGAAAAAGACATGAAGAGTCTTGCCAAACACTAAAGACTGCCAGGAAAGACTAAAGGGCCTGCATCACCCTGCCCCCCTCACTCCATGGAGAGACAGCTTACCTTTGTTACCGACAACCATGGACGATAGGTGTGTAGGGGCTGGATATGTCCAGGGGAGTCTAACCAGAGGGCTGCCAGAAAACCCAAAGAAGGCCACTGATCACATGCATGTTGCAACGCTCAGGAGTTTTTCCTCTCGAGGGCCACTAGACAGAGGGGAATTCTGGAAAAAAAAGGTTTCCTAGAATTATCTGTCTGGAGAATGCTGTAGGCAGGTGGACATAGGTCTTGTTTCTAAAGAATGATTTGTTTTTCTAAGAAAGAAAAGAAACAAAGAAACAAACCAAGAAACAAAAAAGAAAAGAGAGAGAGGGAGGGAAGAAAGAAGTGGGAAGAAGGAAGGAGGGAAGAAGGAAGGGGGAGGGGAAGGAAAGGAAATAGAAATGGAAAGAAGATTTTAAAAAAAGTTCTAGAGCTATGCTGTTAAGTATGGTAGTTTCTGTTTGAAATATGGCTGATCAGAATTGAGATGTGTTGTAAGTATAAAATAGACTGAATTTCAGACTTAGTATGAAGAAAGGCATGTCAAATAGGTAACAATTAATAATTGTTATTGGTCGCCTGGGTGGCTCAGTTGCTTAAGCGACTGGCTTCGGCCCAGGTCATGATCCCAGGGTCCTGGGATCGAGTCCTGCATGAGGCTCCTTGCTCCACGGGGAGTATGCTTCCCCCTCTTCCCTTCCCCCTGCTCATGCTCTCTCTCATAAATAAATTTTTAAAAAAACCTTTAAAAAAATAGTAAGGTCCTTTAAAAAATAATAATAATTGTCATCAATTACATGTTGAAATGATAACATTTTGGAGATTTGGGATTAAACTAAATATATTAAAATGAATGTCACCTATTTTTTACCCTTTTTAAGTGTGGCCCCTACGGCGTTTACAGTTACTTCTGGGGTGCACTCCATTTCTTTGACAGCCCTGCTCCGGAGGAGAGTTGCCCTCGGTGGCTCAGGGCAACCCCCCAGTCCTAGCCCCATTTCTAGTTCCCACCAAACTGTAGAGGTCCTCCGCTCCACCCCTTTCCCTGTCCTGAAAGTCAAGCAGCCCAGATGTGAGATGTCTTGATTCTTCGATTCTCCAGATAAGATCCAAGCAGAGTTTCAATCAGTCATTTTTGACCTTTTAAAATCCTCTGCTTCGAAGGAAGGGCACACAGGGGCTTTCTTGCACTCGTTTGAGAGAGCCGGTAGGTGGCTGTGTGATAGCCACGGAAACTTTGAATAGGATGTGTGAGCCGTGGGAGGTTTGGGTTAGGCCTCAGTGGGGACTAAGGCATTGGCAGACACTGTTCAAGTTTGAATCCAGGTTCACCGGTAAATGTTTAGAATGTTTCAAAGTGGCACCCTAGAACATCGCACGGCAACATTAACCAAACATTTCTTCCAAATACATTATATGTTAATTAATTGAATTTAAATTAAATAAACATTTCTTCCAAAAATATGCATTGAGCACCCTCTCTGTGCCCTAAGTACGCAAGGCCATGGGGTGGGTGTGGGATGCGGGAGGGAAAGGGTTCAGGTGCCCACGGTCCAGGGGCTCAGTTTCCCAGGTCTCCAGCCCCTGCCTGAGAACTTTTATCAAGTCGTAATTATAGCATACTTGCATGTCTTACTTTATACTTCTTTCTCATAAATGCTCGTAAGCATTTTCCATATTCCTATGTAGTCCTCATAGCCTCCTTTTTTAGTAATTAACTAACACTCCTCCAAGGGATTGTATCAATTTGTAACCTTCTGTGGGACATTCAGTTTCCAGTTTTGTTCATTTAAATAAGATTGCAGCAAAAGTGCAATTTGCTTTCCTTGCTGTCTTTCCTTTTGGATTTAAATTTCCTTGTAATTAATTCCCAGGAAGGAAAGAAATACCATGTTTAGGGGTTTGAATTCTTTTCTAGCTCTTGATACATATTGCCAAGGTGCGGTCCAAAAGGCATGTGTGAACTTCCATTGCTCACAGCAATGGATGCGAACACTAAGTTTCTTGCAACTTTGCCAGGATTGAGGTGTTACAGCATATACATGTATATATGTGTATATATATTTTTACAGCATTTAAATTTGCAAATGTATATATATGTATGTACATAAATATACATATGTATAAATTTGCAAACTGTATTGCCGATTTTTTGAAGCTTGAGATTTTTAAAGATTTTATGAGCAAAATATTTATAGACACGTAACACAAGTATATACACATTTTTTTCCCTGAAAAATGCCAAGACACTGTCTTGAGCATTTCTGGACTTTGAATGCATTTCTGTTTTTAAATCATTTTGTACAGAAGATATGTCTCTTTTTCTCCATTTATTAATTTATTTAATCATTTCTTTATATCAGTACGGGCTCATTTTATATTTTGGGTTATATTCCAATTAACTGTATTGTTTAAAATCTTCCAGCTCAGGCCATTAGGAACTCTTTCATCTGGCTCCCACAGCCCTTTGACATATCCCTATCAATGGATTTGTAAGTACCTCCTTACTTTCTAGCACTCCAAGATGCTCCAGGCTCATCTTCCTCAGTCCTAGAGTCAGACTGTTCTCCAAGGAGCTCTGTGATTAGATAATGGTTCTAGAAACCAAGATTTGGCTGCTCAGTGTGCTTATTGCTATTGGGGGTGTCATTCCTCAGGCTCTCACGTGACACAGAAAAGACATATGTGTGTTTACTAGCCTGCATCAGGGGTGGATTCCCATAAGTGAAATTTCTGGATCAGAGTGACTCCACATTAAATACGTTGTTACTGCCTAATTGTCCTCCAAAAAGATTGAAGTGATTTTCACTCTCCCCAGAGGTGCTTAAAAGCACCTGTTTTCCCACAATCTCACCAATATTGAATAGTAGCAATCCTTAAGATCTTTACTAATCTGATGAGTGGAAAATGGAATCTCCCGGTTTGAATTTGAACTTTTTTTTGAATTGATGTTTCTAGTTTTCTCATTGTTCATCTGTTACTAGACTTTGAATTTCTTCTTTTATCTTGTGCAAGCACTTGCATCCTTCCTAATAATCATCTAAAATGACTCTTTACAACTCTTTGCTGATCTCACCTTTGAGCTTAGGTCGATTTTGCTGAGAAATCGGAGCTCTTTTGGCAGAGTGACTGCAGCCCAGCTGGGGACAAGAGGACTCATGTTCCATCTCTCCTTGCAGACACCTCCTTATTCGTCCTTCCCAGTCCCCCCGAGAGCCCTTCCTGTGCTCCTTCCTCAAGGATGAACTGTTCTAGAACATGTCAGCAATGCCTGCCTGTTGTGGAATTTTGTCACAATTTCCAGGGTGGCTGTGACTCAGCCCGGGTCCCTGAAGTCTGAGGCTGTCCACATGGAGAGCACTCATTCCCTGGCACAAACCCGCCCCCCTCAGCCTGAGGCCAGCAGAAGTTCTGGATGTGCCTTCCCCCCGCTGCTCCTCTCGCCTGGTCGCCCCTTTAACTCATAATGCTATTATACAAATGGAACATCCACAGACACGAACCATTCAAACTACAAAGTTATCCTGTGAAAATATATGGATATGTGTTTAACCTCTGCGCCTCTTTCGAAATATCCACACATAAACATGCATATATTTGCATATAGGTTCTTTTTTTCTTAATGCATCTGACGGACAACTCTACACAGTCTTCTTGACCTTGCTTTAATTTTTAATTAACAATGTATTTCCAAGATCTTTCCATATCACCATACACAGATCTATTTCATTTTGGATGACACACAGTATTCCATTGATGTGTTATTATTTATTTATCTATCTAGTCCCATATCAATAGACATTTGGGTTGTTGGCATTTTTTTGCTGCTCCCAACAGTGCTACTGCGAACAGCCTTGAACAAACAGCCTTGTGGATCTGTGGGGATACGCTACAGAAAATTCCAAAAATTGGAATTGCTGGTCAAAGAAAATGTGTACTTTAACTCTGATAGCCATTGCCACCTTGCTCTCTGAAGGAGCTGTGCCAATTTACCCTCCTGGCAGCAGTTGCTGAAACAGGGTATCCCCTGTCCTCTCTCACCAACATCCAGCTCTGTTACACGCGTAAACCTCCTCCCGTCTGGTCGGTGAAAATGGCATCTCATTGTAATCTCACTTTGCATTTCTCTCATTACGGCTGAGGGATGCATTTCAAATGTTAAGAAGTCATCTGTGTTTTTCTTGAACTACTTATATCCTTTGTGAACTATCCTATTGGTTGCCAGTCTTTATCTTACTGATTTATAAGAGTTCTTCACATAGGAAGGAAATGAGTACTTTTGTTAGGTATGGTATAGTAATTTCCCCCAGTTTATTGTGTCGTTTGTTTGTAGACTTTTCTTATATACATATTGCCCTCATAGATTCTGCCTTACAGCAGATTAGAAATTCAATACACGTATTTGGGTGTGCAAGGATTGATTTCTTTAATATCGTGTCCTCATTTCTGCATTTCAGTCCCCATTCCTCTAAGGTGGCAGACACTTCGTTTCATCAATTCAGAGATCAGCTGGTCCTTTTGTCACCCGCCCCCCCAAAGTTCCTGGGATGGTCCTGGGTTCAGGTGGGCTTACTCAGTACATGAGGGGACGCTGGAGGCCCTTTGATCCTCCAGCCCAGCTGTCCATGGAACGTCTACTGGGATTCCCTGTCTGGTCACTTTGGGCTGTCACTTCTTGTCCACAAGGTCCCTCCATGGCTGTTCTCTCCTCCTCACCCCTGCACTACCAAGTACACAGGACGCTTTGTGCCGCCCACAGTGAAGCAGAGGCCCATCTCCCTGACACACCACAGCTATTTCTAACCTAGACCTTTGCCACTTCCTCTGGGTTCATCCTGGGAAACTCAGGCAGGGTTCCTTTCTCAGGACCCCGCCAACATCCACATACATCTCAAGACACCCCCACCTCTGCCCTCTTCCCAAGCCCAGGGACTCTATCTGGTTGGAGAGACTACAAGCCTCGCTATCCCTTGTCAAGGAGCTTCCACGTCGATTCCTATGTCTTCCATTCCTCTAAAGAGTTGTAACTGTGGAGCTCAGAGGTCAGCAAGACTTTCTTCCTATACTTTTGCTTCCCTTTCTGTTGTCACATCCCTTCCCTGAGGCAGTGCACACCGAATGGCCAGAAATGTGTATGTGTGTGTTTGTGTGTGTGTGGTTCCTGGGGAGGGAGAGGCCAAAGCTTCTCAGGAACCCCAGGAGGAAAGCAGCCAGCCATTAAACCCTGTGAACTTCCCAAGCCTTTCCCAGCAAGTCTCAGCCACCCACCACACTGCTGGGGGCCTGTCCTCTCTTGGGCCCTCTCTGATACCGTCTGAGGCTACTGTGCCTCCTTTGCGGGTGGGGCCTGGCCCATCTTGCTATCCTCTGTGGCATCTAGCCCCACGGGCCTTGCACATCCAGACACTTAAGATGTATGGCATTGAAGCATCTGCTGGTTTTAACAAGCCAGGCTGTCCTTGTCCTTGGTGCTCTCCAAGAAAGTCAGGAAGGTGGGGCATCAGTGAAGGGGGTTCTTAGGGTGTCCCCCAAATGGCCTCCTCGGCTTCTGCTTTCTCCTGAAAGCTTTCCTCAGCTGACCCCAAGAAGCCAGGGGAAAAAAGTTTTCCTCCAGAGAGCACTGCCTGCAGATGAGGCCTCCCCACCCAAGTTTGTCTCCCTTCGCCTCCTCCCTGCTTTGCTGGCGTTCCTTCAGGCCAGGGGGCTGGATAGCGTGAAATGACCTCAGCCCCCGGGTCCTCAGGAAGGGATGCTGGAGGCAGGAGTTGGAGAGGAGGTGCCAGGCACCAGTCTTCAACTGAGCACAACTGAATTCATTCCTCATGGAGTTTTCATCCCATCCCTACTGCACCCCTGGTTCCGTCTTTATTTTGCCTCTCGCTAGATAAGAACTCCACCTCTAAGCCTTCTGTTGGTGAGGACAAGGTCCTTTCTGTGAGGTGCCACATTTCCTAGAAGTGGACATGGCAATGTAATCCAGTGACCTGTACACTGAGAGAACCCTCCTTGCTCAGAACGCCCTCGCCCTGCTCCTCCTTCTCTTTCTCTTTCCCCAAGCAGGGCCGGCTCTCAGGACAGTGCAAACACACTTTCAGCTGGTCTCCAGTCTTCCAGCCATTTCTAATTGTCCCCTCCAACATCCTCCAGGGACTCAGCCTGCAATCTGACCAAGTTTTGCTGCCCATTACTGCCGGGGCCCACTGGTTCTTTCATGTTAATTCATCTTTTCCTCAGTAGCATCTCTGAGGAGCACCACTCACCAGCAAGCTTATCTCGGGACCACAGGCCGAGCTCTGGGAAATGTATGCAGTGATGGAGATTTGGGGTCTGGAGGAGGGTCCAGCCCCCGCCTGGCATTCACTTCCCTGAGCCTCTTTCTTCATCAGTAAAATGGTGGGAGAAAACGAACAAACAAGCAACAGCACCTACCTCGCAGGGCGGCGAGGACTCCACAGGCATCATGTGCATATTTCTAAAACATGGGCTCTTTGGGGCGCCAGGTTGGCTCAGTCGTTATGCGTCTGCCGTCAGCTTGGGTCATGATCCCAGGGTCCTGCTTCTCCTTCTCCCACTCCCCCTCTTTGTGTTCCCTCTCTGTCTCTCTGTCAAATAAATAAATAAATAAATAATAAAAACAAAAACATGTGCTCTTAGTAGTAGTGTAACGTGAAAAGCACTTCTCATAATTGGCCCAGCCCCATCTAGCATCCATCTTCAGTCTTTTATATATATATATATATAAAATATAATATATTTTAAATATATATATACAGTTGTTGTTGTTGGAGGAGAAGGGTGTGTTTCTCTACCATTTTCTTTTTCCTTTGTCTACAATTCCTCTTTTACCTAGAAGGTGGTGGTGGCGGTGGCTGTGTTAGGGAGGAAAATCCACAGAGGGTGGGGATGGAAAGATAAATAGGCTAGCGGCAGCCAGGCCTCCTAGAGTAGCTGCCCGCACATTCAGCTGGGATTGAATCAAGTTTGGAAACCTGGGGCTGAGCTCCTCACCCCTCCAGATGCCGGTCAGGCCCCCTGCCCTGCCGCCCTGCAGGTGCCATGTGGGTGCTCCCCATGAGCCCATGTTAGGAAGGCAACCCCACCCATGGATGCTACGGGGCCACTGACATTCTCTTCCTTTACTTTGTGTCATTATGCTTTGTCACATCTGGAACATAGGCTGCCAGGGAGGGTACTGGGCCCCTAGGCACAGGCTGGGGTCACTGCAGAGCCAGGGGGGAAGGAACAGGTAGTCTCCAGAGAAGGGACAGCAAGTCAGGAACCCAGAGGCCCGGAAGGCCCTGAAGTCACAGTGCTGGTTGGTCTCCCTTGTAGGGACGTGGAGGGGGAGATGCAGGATAATGGGCTAGGAAAGGAGACAGATTAGAAGCAAACCATGGCTATCTGTCCAGCAAAAGAGTGAACACACCCTCAGTTTCCATCAATGTGGGAAGGCCCAGTTATATAGGGAATATCCACACAAGGGAAGGCTGAACAGAAGGATGAGAACTGCATTATTCACTGATGTGAAATGATATCCAAGATCTATTATTAAGTGAAAAAAGCAAGATGCAAACAGTGTACAAAATAAGCTGCCATTCGTGTTTTTATTTATACGTGTTTGCTTGAAGATGTGTACAATGTCTCTGGAGAAATTCACCAAAAAACCATTTCAAGGAGTTCATATTTAATGGGTCCAGAGTTTCAGTTGGGATAGAGGAGAAAGTTCTGGAAACGGATGGTGGCGATGGTTGCACAACAACGTGAATATATTTAAGGCCACAGAACTGTGGCCTTAAATATGTGACTAAAATGATAAACCTTATATTACGAATATTTAACCACAATAAAAATACCCCCAAATATTTCAGTGGTTGCCTGTGGGGAGAGCAGGGTGTTCGAGAGAGAGACAGAGAGACAGAGAGAGACAGAGAGAGAGAGAGAGAGAGTGGAAGGGGGACTTTCTACTATATCCTTTTGTACCCATTTAAATCTTTTCAAAAAATAAGAAAAATTAAAAATAAAAGCAGCAGCAAACTAACAAGGTGCAAAGACAAGCTGAGCTGGACTGAGGCTCAGGTCCAGGGCTGTGGCTGGTTCATTTACAAAAGGAACTATTTAGGGTGCCTGGGTGGCTCAGATGGTTAAGTGTCTGCCTTCGGCTCAGGTCATGATCCCAGGGTCCTGGGATCGAGTCCCACATCGGGCTCCCTGCTCGGCGGGAGGCCTGCTTCTCCCTCTCCCACTCCCCCTGCTTGTGTTCCTGCTCTCGCTGTCTCTGTCTCTGTCAAATAAATAAATAAAATCTTAAAAAAAAAAAAAGGAACTATTTACATAGATGGAAAGGGGGGAAGGAGAGCGTAGGGCCGGTGCGGGGTGCAAGCGCTCCAACAGCACTCACCCTACTTCCTGGAACACAGAAAGAGAGAATCAGTGGAAGAGGCTGCCTGACCCTGGAAGGAAGGTCACAGCCAGCCTGGGGGACCCTGCAGGGAGCCTGTCAGGGAGTTAACCTGACTCTCATCTTTTCCCTCACTTTCATCTCCCCTGGGCTCCCCGGCCGTTGGAGGGCAAGGGCGCCTGTCAGTGCAGGGCCAGTCATGGGGGTCAGCCTCCTCTGACACCGTGCAGGGGGGCAAAGGGCGCAGAGAGGGTCTGGTGAGACAAAGGGACCGTCTCTGAGACTGCTTGCAAGCCGGTGAGCCAGGCTGCTTGGACGCGAGAGCCCAGCTCCACCCCTTCCTACCTGGGTGTGCTTAGGTACCCTGATCCTCAACACGGGTACCAAGGGTACCTCTCCTAGAAGGCTGCTAGAATTGCGTTTGTTCACATCCATGTCATGTGCTCCGAAGAGTGCCGTGCACGTGAGAACCCCTAGCCATGTGGCCCTGGGTTGGACGCAAGGGAGCAGGCCGGTCCTGAGAGTCAGGAGGGGAAAGAAGCCGGGAGCGTCCCGCTGAGGCCGGCCCCTGAGAGTCACAGATACCTACTAATCCAGCACCTCTTGCCGTCAGCCCTCTGCTGGGCCCGCCGTGTCCACTGTCATGAACCCCTCGGCACGCAGGGTGGCTGGGTGGATCTTCTCGCCTTATGGCTGAGGAACACTGCAGCTCAGAAAGGGAAGCCCCGGCCCAGGGCCACACAGCTAAGGAGAGTGACTCTTGGCCGGCATTCACCATGACAGCCTTCCCGGCGGCTAAGCCTTCCTTGAGAAACTCAGAGCCCAAGAAAAGATTCACACATTGCAGTATAAAAAAAAAAAATCAGAATTAAAAATAGCCTCTGTTTACAGAAATTCTCTGAGCTTCTCAGCACACATACAGAGGGCAAATTCTCATTTAAAAATATTATGGGCAGTAGAGAAGAGTCCATTAAAAGTGTCAAAAATGTCAAATTTATTAACTTTAAAATACAACTTTAAAGGGGATTGCAGGTAATTTTATGAAAAATTAAAAATAATAAGGCCTGGGTTGAAAGTAATGCATTTTTTTTTTTTTTCAGAAAAATATCAATGGTATGGTATTTAGAGACAGATTCAGTTAAGAAAGTGATTGAAGTACAAAAGCAAGAGCAATATTAAAGTGATTATAGCACCAAGAATATTTTTCTTTTGTTATTTTTAAATATTGGGATAATCAATATAAGTAAGTTTTGTATTTGCTCTATTGTACATGTTATCTTTTAAAATAATTTTATTTTTGAAAAGTTTTTAAATGTATTTTGTAAGTGCACCAATATAATAAAATCAGTTTGTTGGTCAAATGATACTTAAAAAAATTTTTAAAGTCCAAGGCACGCCACATGTCAGGATCTGTCAATGGACATATGGGTCACCTCCTTGCTCCCTGCCCCTGTCCCTTCACAAAATAAAAGATAATTTTCATCCCTATCAGTCTCCTTTCATGGTAAATATAAATTCATGAATGAGTGGATGGACAAATGGTACATCTGAAGGACAAATAGACCAACAAAAACAAGCACTGGTGAGGACCTTGAGAAGCCAGTTTGGGCTACGCGGGAAGGGCTGTGACACGAGGCTGAAGAGAGGATTTTACCCAAGAAGTGGTAAAGTGCCACTGGGGCTTGGGACAGGAAAGTGATGTGACTCGGGCTTTAAGGAGATTTATCTCACCAAGGGGAACTTAGAGAAGCGACTTGTGTCAGGGTCACCATTTGGGGGCTCAAGGTGACAGCATCTTTGGGAAGGCCTGGAAAAAAAGGGAAGGAAGCCTGAGAGAGAACTGGTAGGATCTGGTGGGTGCCCGAACTGAGTGCCCAGGGGAGGGAGGGATGGGAGAGAAGCTGGCTCCTTTGGCAGCACCTGGGAAGTCAGGCAGTGGGGAGGAAGGCTTTTCTCTCAGTGCTACAGTTACACCACCTGCCTCCCAAGAGGCAGGGGGTGGTATTGAGACTCATTCTTAAGTCAAGACCTGTCTGAAGCTCGACATCTCCCTCATGCCCAGAATGGAGGACACCAAGGCCACTGTACCACACCTCCTTTGATTTTGGTGCTGTTTCTTTCTTTAAAAAAAGAGGGAAAAAAAAGATTTATTTGAGAGAGAGAGAGTGCACGCACACTTGTGGGGGGGGGAGGGGCAGAGGGAGAGGGCGAGAAAGAATCTCAAGCAGACTCCACACCGAGCTCAGGGCCCGATGTGGGACTCCACCTCACGACCCTGAGATCACGACCTGAGCTGAAACCAAGAGTCGGACGCTCAACCGACTGAGCCACCCAGGCACCCCTGGCCCTGTTTCTGAGGTGAGGTTCTGACCTCTACTTGAGTGGCTGATGGGAAGCACTGGGTCCTTCATTATAGTCCCCGAGACTTCTCCCAAGCAGGCAGACCCTGGCCAGAACATCCATCCAGACATGCTTGTATAACCCTCAGCATATTTCCAGGATACCCAGTGGATAATTCTCAACCACCTGAGACAATCTGTCTGTGCTGAATCCTGAGGGGCTGAGACAACACAAGAACAGAAGATTCTAGACAATCTCTCCCTTGCTCTCTCCAGTCCTGCCTTGAATGTCAAAGTTCAAACTGAACTGGACATAAGGGAGAAGACCAACCATAAAGGAAGTGGCGGCCCCTCCCATTCATGTACGCAGAAAGGCATGCTGGTAAGGAGGCCAAAGCGCCACGACCGGAAGTTTCTGATTCTTGTCTGCAAAGGCCAGTGCCGGGCAGATGGGATCTTTATCAATAAGAATGTAGATCAAGGAGTCAGCGGCCTCTTACAGCATCACAGGGATGACTTATGATGCCTATGATCCCCAGGGTGCTCCTCACACCTGGGTAAGAGAAGGGGCAGGCGTCGAGTCCCTTGCCCGAAACGGCCTCGGTGGTAAGAAGACCCTCTCTGGAATCAAATGGCCATTTTCAAATTTTCAAATGAAGCTCCTGAGTGATCCCTCCCTGTTCCTGGAGGAGAGAACAGGGCTAGGCCAGAGGCTCAAAGACACATTGGCGCCTCTGGCATTTCCTTCATTCAACACATATTTATGGAGCATCCCCTAGCTCTGCCTGCCTTCCAGAGTTCCAGCAGAGCCTGGAATCACTCCAGGGGCGAGGCTGATGCATTCTCAAATGTCTGCCCAGCC